GCCTCCTGACTAGCTGGGATTACAGGCATGTGCCACTATGCCCAGCTAATTTTTTTGTATTTTTAGTAGAGACGGGGTTTCACCATGTTGACCAGGATGGTCTCGATCTCTTGACCTCGTGATCCACCCGCCTCGGCCTCCCAAAGTGCTGGGATTACAAATTTGAGCCACCGCGCCCGGCCTTCTTTTTTTTTTTTTTGAGACAGAATTTTGCTCTTGTTGCCCAGGCTGGCGTGCAATGGTGCAATCTCAGCTCACCACAACCTCCACCTCCCAGTTTCAAGCAATTCTCCTGCCTCAGCCTCCTAGGTAGCTGGGATTACAGGCATATGCCACCACCCCCAGCTAATTTTGTATTTTTAGTAGAGACCGGGTTTCTCCATGTTGTTCAGGCTGGTCTTGAACTCTTGACCTCAGGTGATCTGCCCACCTTGGCCTCCCAAAGTGCTGGGATTACAGGCATGAGTCACAGGGCCTGGCCCCCTGAGACTCTATTTCTAACCAGCTGTATAGCTTTGGAAAAGCCCCTCGCCTCCCGGACTCTCAGTATCCTAGTCTGTGAAAAAGGGGATTATACCCTCTGACATCTGGAAGGACTGGCTGAGGGGTGAGGCACCACAGATGCCAGTCATCTCCCTCCAGGCATTCAGCCGGGCAGAGGGCAGCATCCAGGGAGCCCACGGTTGTCTGCCGGTGTGGCCAGCACAGGTGTCTGGGCCAGTAAGGGCAGTGCCTCCTCTCACAGTGGCACTATTGTTCCACCAGGGGAGATGGATGTGAGCGTGACTCCTGGGGAGGGAGGAGGGAAGGTTAGAGGCGCTGGAAGGGCCGCGAGCAGAATATCATGCTGCAGAAAGCTCTGTTCCCCCAGAATGCCCTCATGGCCAGCTAGCATCCTGAAAAGCTCCGTGCAGCCTGCTCCTGTCAGGGCTGGGCCATTCACTTGAGAGGGTTCCTGGTGCACAGGAGTGTTTTTCGTGATGGAGTCCATCACCCCGCACCCAGCACCCAGCACCCAGCACCCATCAGCCAGCCTCTTCTGAGCCCTCGTGGTTCCTTCCCATGGGGCATCCTGGGCTCCCATTCTGATGATCTCCAAGGAGCCTCGCACTCTATGAAGTACCTGGGAAAAACCCATCCTCGCATCTGTATTTGTTTGCTATGGCTGCCATCACAAAGTACTGTAGGCCGGGCAGCTTCCACAACAGAAGTTCATTTCTCATAGCTCTGGAAGCTGGAAGTCCGAGATCAAGGACTGCCTCTGTAGAATCAGTTTCCTCTGTGGCCTTTTTCCTTGGCTTGTAAGGTGCCATCTTCTCCCTGTGTCTTCCCATAGTCTTCCCACTGTAACTGTGCCCAAACTTCCTCTTCTTATAAGATACCAACCTTATTGAATTAGAGCCACCCTAATGACCCCATTCTAACTTAATTGCCTCTTTAGAGACACAATCTGTAAATAACAGTCACATTCTGAGGTCTGGGGGTTAGGGCTTCCATGTAGGAATTGGGTGGGTGGGGAGTGGACAGATGCCATTTGGCCCATATGGCATCTTACAGGTGAAACAACTGAGGCCTAAGAGGGTCTGTGGCTGGTACTAGGCAAGGCCAGACCCTCCCTCTCTGCCTCCATTCACAACCCAGCCTCACTCGCCTGTCCCGGAGAGGAAGAGGTTGGTGGGTGAGGGCAATCCGAGGTCTGACTCCTCATCAAACCTCCCAGCTGGTGGAAGTGACTGGTCAGGCAAGCCACTCTGCTGGGCACAGCAAGGGCAGACATTCTCCAGGGCAGTGCTTTTCAAATTGTATATGCATAGGAATTATTACACCTGGTGAACTCCATTAAAATTATTTATTTTTTGGGTCAGGGTCTCTCTGTATTGCCCAGGCTGGAGAATATGGGCTGTTCAAAGGTGCAATCATAGCTCACTACAGCCTTGAATGCCTGGACTCAAGCGATCCTCCTTCCTCAGCCTCCCCAGTAGCTGAGACTACAGAGCTGTGCCACTGTTCTGGCTAAAAATTAAGTAATTTTAGGTAATTGAGTTAAAATGACATCATTAGGGTGGGCCCTAAACCAGTCCAGGCTCTGACTTGGCCTCTCTGGGGAAGGGCCTGAGACTTTGCATCTCCCACAGGCTCCCATGTGATGTCAATGCTGCTGATTTCTAGACCACACTGAGCAGTAGCAAGGTTTAAACCAGCACTCTCCATGAGAAATAGATGTCATTCTAAATTTTCTCATATCACATCAAAAAAAATGTAAAAAGAAACAAGTGGACCAGGTGCTGTGGCTCGGGCCTGTAACTGCAACATTTTGACAGGCCAAGGTAGGAGGACAGCTTGAGACCAAGAGTCTGAGTTCAGCGTGGGCAACAGAGTGAGACCTCATTTCTACAAAAAATAATTTTAAAAATTAGCTCATGTGTGTATTTTTTTTTTTTTTTTTTTTTTTTTTTTGAGATGGAGTGCGGTGGTATGATCTCAGCTCACTGCAACATTCACCTCCCAGGTTCAAGCAATCTTCCTACCTCAGCCTCCTAAGTAGCTGAGATTACAGGTGCCTGCCACCACACCCAGCTAATTTTTGTTTTCTTATGCAGAGACTGGGTTTCACCATGTTGGCCAGGCTGGTCTCAAACTCCTGACCTTAAGTGATCCTCTGGTCTTGGCCTCCCAAAGTGCTGGGATTACAAGCTCTAATATATTTTTAACCCAGTATATCCCAAACATAATCATTATTATTTCAGAACAGTGAGCATATAAAAATTGTTGATGAGATATTTTACATTATTTTGTTTGTACTAAGTCGTCAAAATCTGGTAGGTACTTTATAGCACATCTCACTTGGGACTCTAAATTCTTAGGAGAAATACTTCATCACAAAATTTACAGTTGAAAAAAAAAAAGGATCACACATCTAAGTTGTTCTAAACCTACTTAAAAGTTTTCAGCTGGGCGCGGTGGCTCACGCCTATAATCCCAACACTTTGGGAGGCCGAGGCGGGTGGATCACAAGGTCAAGAGATCGAGACCATCCTGGTCAACATGGTGAAACCCTGTCTCTACTGAAAATACAAAAAATTAGCTGGGCATGGTGGTGCATGCCTGTAATCCCAGCTACTCCGGAGGCTGAGGCAGGAGAATTGCCTGAACCCAGGAGGCGGAGGTTGCGGTGAGCCGAGATCGCGCCATTGCACTCCAGCCTGGGCAACAAGAGTGAAACTCTGTCTCAAAAAAAAAAAAAATAAAAGTTTTCAAAAAACAGAATCCAGTATTAACTTTCAAATTTAAGATAATTAAAATCAAATAAAATTAAAAATTTAAGGCCAAGGCGCAGTGGCTCACGCCTGTAATTTCAACACTTTGGGAGGCTGTGGCTGGTGGATCACTTGAGCTCAGGAGTTTGAGGCCAGTCTGACCAACATGTGAAACCCCATCTCTACAAAAAATATAAAAATTAGCTGGTGTGGTGGTGCACGCCTGTAATCCCAGCTACTCAGGAGGCTGAGGCACGAGAATCACTTGCACCCAGGAGGCAGAGGTTGCAATGAGCTCAGATCGCACCACTGCACTCCAGCCTGTGCAACAGTGAGACTCTGTCCCCAGCCCACCCCACCAAATTTAGTCCTTGGGTCGTATTACTGAATTTTTCAATTTAATTTTTTATAGCGAGACCCCATCTCTACCATTAACCCATTTCAAATGCTTGAAAAGCTACATGTGGTTAGCGGCTACTGTATACGGCAGTGTAGGACTAGACCATCAGGAAGAAGAATGACAGAAATGAAGGATCCCAGCTCCACAGAGGACTTGAGATGGAAACAGCCCAAGACCCAGACAGCGCCAGTGCAGGAGCCCAGGGAAAGGCGTGTTGGAAGCAAAGAGCTCAAGGTGTGCACCCCAAGATCTAAGCACCAGGCACTATAGCTGGCTCTGGAGGAAGGGGTCAGCAGGGGATGGGGTGGTGTGAAGAGATCCCAAACCTGCTGAAGTAGGAATGGGTGGCAAAGCAGGAACTATGTCCAGGGAAATTAAAAAAGTGCTTCTGGGCTTGGATTCTGGAGAACGACCTGTGCGAGGGAGCTTGAGCCTGTCCTGGACACCTCTAGGAAGCGAAACCGGGACCAAGGGTGGTCGTTACAGGAAGCTGCTTGGGGCTCAGACCAACAATGAGCTTTTAAACAAGGAGAGTCCCCACAATGGAAACAGGGAGCTTCCTGCCTTTGGAATCCTGGACAGAGAATGTTCTAGAGGAATCGCCTCCTCCTCATGCAGTGGAACGGCAAAACAGAATCTGGAAAGCTGCCTGTTGAGAGGCTGCAGAGGGGTTTGTTCCTGTATAAAGGGTTGAATAATGAGTTCCCTCCAGTTAGGTGTCTACTGATCCCGTATTTGCAATAAATGACCTTTCCAGAGGACTTATTAAGGGTCAGGCAGCTAAACTCCTGAACTGAGCACTTAACTGCAGTTTCATCTACACAAAGCCATGAGCCTGGTCCTCCTGCTTTCTCCTCTTCTTAGGGGAGGAACCTTAGAGCTGCCGAGTTTTGAAGTCATGTCTCACGGCCAGAGGATGCTGGAGCAAGGCTTTAAGCAGGCAGCCAGGATCCAGAGCATGCCGTCCACTGCACCACTCTACCTACAAGGAGGCTCAGCCTGTCTCGTCCTCTTCCTGCTTGGCCTTAACCAGCTACATTTCCCACTGACCCCACTTGCTGCAGAGGTGAAAACTACCATGCCAAGGTCTTGCTGGCTGCGGGAGAGGGTGGGCCACACGCCTGGATTGGCCAGAGCTGCCACTATCGATGTAATCACGTTCACAATTTCCCTTCACCTCTTATTACCCTGCAGGGTGCTCTCTCAGCAACCCCATGCCCGGATCTTGAGGAGAAAGAGGGCAGGGAAAAGGGAATGGGACTGGCCCAGATACCAGCCCCACAGCCAGGCTTCCACATGGCTGAGCAGGAACTCCAGAGCAGGAGCACACAAAGGAGGGCTTTGATGCACCTCCAGCCAGGCCCCGGCCTCTCCCCTCTCCCCTCTCTCTCCGGGTCTTCCTTTGCCCCACTCCGGGCCTCCTGTGAGCCCGATTTAACGGAAACTGTGGGCGGTGAGAAGTTCCTTATGACACTAATCCCAACCTGCTGACCGGACCACGCCTCCAGTGGAGGCAACCTCTAGAGCTCCAGGACATTCAGGTACCAGGTAGCCCCAAGGAGGAGCTGCCAACCTGGCAGGTAAGTCAATACCTGGGGCCTGCCTGGGCCAGGGAGCCCAGGACTGGGGTAAGGACTCAGGGGAGCAGGGAGACCGTGTCCCAAGCTACCTGTAAAACCAAAACTACTTGGCCATGCTCCAGGCTGAGCTAGACCAATCTGATGGCAGATTTAGCAAATAAAAATACAGAACACCCAGTTAAATGTGAATTACAGATGAACAGCAAATACTTTTTTAGTATTAGAAAAGTTCACATTTAGGCTGGGTGCAGTGACTCACGCCTGCAATCCCAGCACTTTGGGAGGCCGAGGTGGGTGGATAACCTGAGGTCAGGAGTTCGAGACCAGCCTGGCCAACATGCTGAAACCCTGTCTCTACTAAAAATCCAAAAAATTAGACAGGCTTGGTGGTGCGTGCCTATAGTTCCAGCTACTCAGGAGGCTAAAGCAGGAGAATCGCTTGAACCCAGGAGGCGGAGGTTGCAGTGAACTGAGATTGCACCACTGCACTCCAGCCTGGGTGACAGGAATTTAACTCCATCTCAAAAAAAAAAAAAAAAAAGTTCACATTTAACTGGCATTCTGTATTTTAATTGGCAACCTGGGATGGCAGGGAACAGCATCAGCATGGTGAGAGGGATAGGCATTTTTTCATTGTGTACAGCTTGTCAATCAGTATATTTAAAACTCAAAGTTAACAGCTTGGGCATATTTCGAAAAGAGTTGCTGCACAGACTTGAACCCGGTATTCCTAAGACCTAGGATCTTGTTCTGATGGTCTGCACAACTGGCTGGGGGTGTCCAGCCACTGTTCCTCCTGCCTGGACTCCTTAGGGCAGTTCTGTCAGCCCCTCCATTTCCATTCCTGTGCCAGCAAAACCCAAGTGATCACACAGCAGCATTCTAGTCTATCTGTGCCCGCAAATTTGGATGTCTACCAGCCAGAAAGATGGCTTAGATTTGGTTCCTGTCGGTGGATTGTGGCCCCCAGAACTTCCCTGTCCTTGCTGGGGCTGTGGAGTGGATGGAGCAGGAGATGGGGGACCCTTAGATATTCTTTGGGGTCCTCCAAGTCTCTTTGTGCAAGTTAGGGTCATGATCAATACGGAGTTAAGTAAGATAAGAGAAACTGTGTTTTAGAACAGGACGCTGTGCCAGGAGCGTTGCGGAAGTTGTATAGTTTTCATGACAGTTCTTTTTGCTAAGTACTGTTGTTACCCTCAGTTTGCAGATGAGGAAACTGAGACCCAGAATGGTTAAATAACTTGCTAGGGTCACGTAAGTCATAAATGACAAAAGCCAGGTCGCCCTAACCTTTAGGGTTTCTATGACACCAGCTCTCCTAGGGAGTTTGCCTGCAGATGTCTTGGCTCTAGGCATCATAAAAAGACTTGGCGTCAGGCAGACATTGATTCAAATCCCAGCTCTGTCACTTACCAGCTGTGACGAGGTAATTGAACAGACCATAGAATCTGGTCACAGGAAGGAGCAGGATGGAGAAGCGTTCTTGAAGGCACTTAGGCAGGACATTTAGGCAGGAGAGGAAACCTGGAAACAGAAGAGTTATCTCCAAAAATATCCAAAAATACCCAGGTGGTCGTGTGGGCCATGAGTGGGATCTGTTCTGATAACGAAGCATTGCTTATGTGTTCATTTTTAAATGACATATCACAACCCTTCCATTCCTACTTTACAGGGAACAGCCAAGGCTCAGGTTAAACCACACAGCCTGCAAGTGAAAAAGAGGAAGTGGAACCCAGGTCTGACTTCCGCGCCGCAGCGGGCTGCCTCTTGGTGCTGACAGGAAGTCACAGCTTGGGTCTGAGTCCTGATCCCTGGAGATTTTTTGGCTGTGTTACCTTGGACGAGTCACGTCTCCCCCCTCCTCTGTTTCCTCCTTGTCAAACGGGAATAATAAGGCCAGCCATGGCACTGAGAGAGTGGATTTGGGAGTACTTAGCACATCCCAAAGTGCAGAACACACTCCTAGCCTCATGATCATGTACTTATGTAACTGGTCATTGCCCATCTCGAGAGTGAATGAATTGGGGAAAGGGCCATCCACTAGGCTGGGAAGTGTCTGAGGGACCCCTTTGGGCTGGAGAAGGATGGTCACAGGAGGGCGGAGGGTTGCCTTATCCTGCAGTGATTGCGTCATTGGGAATGGAGCCAGACTCTTGTTTTTTCCTGGTGGGGCTAACTTGTCTGAACATCTGAGGACTGAGCCATTTGCGTGTGTGCCTTTGTCAAAGCAGTGTTTCTGAAAGGGCAGCCCGAGAACCATCTCCCTGGGAGCCACCTGGGCATGCTTTGAATTGCAGATGCCTAGGCCTGAGCCTGCACCTCCAGAGTCAGAAGCATGGAGGTCGGGGCCTGGGCACCTGCATTTCTAACAAATGCCTCGAATGATTCTGATGCCATTCAAAGTTTGAGATCCACTGTTCTGAGACAATAACAGAATGGTTTCTCTAACCCCTGCAGCCCTGACTTTCTCTCCTAGGAAAGGGGCTGACTGGAGAGGCCAGGACAGAGAAAGCAGATCCCTTCTTTTTCAAAGGACTCTGTGTCTTCCAGAGGCAATATGTCAGAAGGGGTAAGTGCTCTGTCCTCTGGGGCGCTCCTCCACCCACCACCGCTCTCTTCCCTCTCCCTCCTGCCTTACTTCTCTATCACCTGCTCTGCCCAGGATTATAGGCACACACTCCTCTCACCTCTCTGTGGGTCCTGACTTCACAAAACAAGGGGGCTTAACAGTGACCTTGGGGAACAGCATGAGTTGGAGGTGTGAGCAGGTCATTTCCCTGGCTGACTGGGGCTGACAGTGGGGCTGTTCCTGTTTTCCCCTTCTCTGCCCAGGTGGGCACATTCCGCATGGTCCCTGAAGAGGAGCAGGAACTCCGTGCCCAGCTGGAGCAGCTCACAACAAAGGACCATGGACCCGTCTTTGGTCCGTGCACCCAGCTGCCCCGCCACACCTTGCAGAAGGTGAGGTGGCTGACAGTGCCGGGAGGGGCAACCTAGGGGCAACATAAGGGAACCGTGACCACGTCCTCCTTCCTGCACAAAGGGTCCAGCCCCAGCACTCCAGATTGTCCTAGACCTGATAGACTGGACTGTTCTAGGGTCCTTCCTGTTGGTCACAGCTATGGCAGCAACTAGGTTGACCAGACACCTAGCCAGCCCAACTCAAGACTACAGCCCAGAGCCTCTGAATCGGGGCCGTCTAAACTAGACTCAGAGTGAGGAGCAAAGCTTGGGAGGCAGCAGCGAGACTCAATGGAAAGAGGAGTCCCAGCTCCACTCCTTTCTCTCCGGGTGACCTTGAGCAAGAATATCTTCACCTTGTTGAGCCTCAATCTGCTCCTCTGAGAGATGGGGATAAGAACACCAACCATGTGGGCTGTGCAAAGATGTAAAAACACAATGCCTTTAAAGGAGTTAGCAGGTTGCTAGGGAAAGGCTCAGTGAGTGTAGGCTGTCATTATGAGAAACATTTAGACTGTTGGCCATATTCTGCAAATATCCAGAACGAACAGTTTGACTGAATTCTCTCCACACACAACAATCTCAGGTGCTGTCCCTGGGGCAGAAAGGGAGGGCACTGGGGCAGAGCCCTGGGCCCCCTGGGCTGGTCTGGCTCTGGTGGGAGACTCATCACCTGTGTGTCCTGCCCCTCACCCGCACCAAAGCCTAACCTCATGCACACCCCACCCTGTTCCAGGCCAAGGATGAGCTGAATGAGAGAGAGGAGACCCGGGAGGAGGCGGTGCGCGAGCTGCAGGAGATGGTGCAGGCGCAGGCCGCCTCCGGGGAGGAGCTGGCTGTGGCCGTGGCGGAGAGGGTGCAGGACAAGGACAGCGGCTTCTTCCTGCGCTTCATCCGCGCGCGGAAGTTCAACGTGGCCCGTGCCTATGAGCTGCTCAGAGGTGAGGCCCGCACTGGAGGGCCAACTCTAGTGGGGCGGGGGGCTGTGAGGATGGTGTCCACTCTCTCCCAGGCACTGAAGAGGCCACTTCCATACTGTGGGCAAGTCTATTTCCCTGAGCCTTTATATACTTACCTGCAAAATGGGTTTGCTCCAATAATGAACGAATGAATGAATGAATGAATGGAGTGTGTCAGGACCAGATTCCAAGAGGACTAAGTTCTTTCAACTCTCTCCCAGTCTTGGGATTCAATGAGTAAAACTTGGGTACCCCCCATTTGGGTGGTAAGGGGAGGAGCTTCCCTTCCTTATCCCTGGAGTTCCCCATCCTGAGAACCAGGCCTTGGCCCTGGAATGCTGCAGGAAGCTGGACAGTGCCTTGCTCAGGGCGGTTAGCTAAGCCTCATGTGCAGTGGAATGGAAGATGCTGCCAGGCCTGGGAATGCTGGCTGGATGAAGACAGGATCCCTCAAGAAATCAAGTCTTGGGCACTGGGGGAGGGAAACGGGGACTGCACAGGCCCTCTGCAGGCTGACGATCTTCCTTTTCTTACTTCTTCCTTCCCCAAACGGTAATTCAGAGCTTGCTGTGCTGACCACTGCTATAGGCCAAGGGATGCAGTGGAGAACAGAACAGACCAGAGTTCCCTGCCCTGGTGGAGCTTATATTCTAATGGTGGAAATAATACATTCGATAAATGAAGTAAAATTTTAGTGGCCAGGGAAGTTCCAGTGCAAAGGGTTTTTTTTTTTTTTTTTTTTTGAGATGGAGTCTTGCTCTGTCACCAGGCTGGAGTGCAGTGGCGCAATCTTGGCTCACTGCAAGCTCCGCCTCTCGGGTATTCAAGGGATTCTTCTGCCACAGCCTCCCGAGTAGCTGGGACTACAGGCGCCCACCACCATGCCCACCTAATTTTTTGTATGTTTGTATTTTAGTAGAGACGGGGTTTCACCATGTTGGGAAGGATGGTCTCCATCTCTTGACCTAGTGATCCGCCCACCTCGGCCTCCCAAAGTGCTGGGATTACTGGCATGAGCCACCACGCCCGGCTGCAAAAGGAATTTTTGAAGAAAAACACAGAGGAAATGAGATATCTGTGGGGAAGAGCAGCCAGGGCAGAGGGAACAGCAAAGACAAAGGCCGGGTGGGAGGTGGGAGGTGCCTGGAGTGTTCCAGAGCAGTGAGGAAGTTGGTGTGGCAGTCTCTTGGCAGAGGTGCTCAGGTCCTCTAGGGGCTCCAGTTTGGTGCTGCAGGCCACAGAGGCGGTGAACTGTTCAGGATGGGTACAGATAGTGTTTCTGGACAGAATCAGGAAGGGCTCTGTGTCCTGCCTGGGGTTTGGATTTTACTTGGGAGCTCCTCCCCAGCCCTGCACACACCTCACCCCTCAGCTTACCCTGTGCCCAGCTGAAAAATCTGTGCCTTGTCCCCATGGGAAAGAAAATAACAAGTAATGATTCTCCTCATATTTGGGACTACGTCTCACGTTTGCACAAGCTTATGATATTTATACCTTGGATCTTATTTGGTTGCTTCAACAAATTGGTGAGATAGGCCACTATCTAGAATAGCTAGGCCAATACTGAGATTCCATTTTTTGGAGAGGAAACATGGGACTCCGATGGGGTTGAGCAGCCTGCTCGGTCTCGCATAGGACTTTTGTGGAAGAGCCAGGCAGGAGGCCAGGTCTCTGGCGCCCACTAGGTGGGATGGGGTAGGGATGGGATGGCTCCCTGAAGGGGTTCCTCTGCTCCCTCCACCAGGCTATGTGAATTTCCGGCTGCAGTACCCTGAGCTCTTTGACAGCCTGTCCCCAGAGGCCGTCCGCTGCACCATTGAAGCTGGTTACCCTGGTGTCCTATCTAGTCGGGACAGGTATGGCCGAGTGGTCATGCTCTTCAACATTGAGAACTGGCAGAGTCAAGAAATCACCTTTGACGAGGTTAGTGGGGGCTCGCCCGGCTCCCACCCTGCAGGCTGGGTTCCCTCCCTCAACCCTGGTCTCTACTGGACCCTCATTCCTGGTTCCCAGGAGGCAAGGTTGGTAGAGGGGGAAAGGTGGGCAGCCACCCATCGCCAAGCCCTTTTCGGGCAGGGGGAGAATTCTTAGGGTATGCCAGGGCAGCTGGAAAACCCAGTAGCTTTGCAGGTGGGGCTGGATGGCCAATCGTATGTGGCTGCTCCTGGGTATCCCTGCCAAGTGCCTAGCCGGGTAACAGCTGTGCACTATGGGCTTAATGCTAAAAGCTGAGAGCAACAGAGAGAACAGGGATTCGTACACTGTGGGCTGGAAGAGATTCTGGAAAGCACAGGTTGCAATCTATTTAGAAGCCCCAATTCTTTGTGCTTATATATACTCATTTTTGCTTGCCTTAACCATTAAGAGGGCTGCACCAAGTGGGGGAATTAGGGTTTGTCTTGGGAGAACTTAGGCATGTGCCACTGAGCCTGAAAAAGATTCCTTTAATTAAAAAAAAATTGGTACAAACTAATTTATTTATTTTTGAGACAGAGTCTCGCTCTGGTCACCCAGGCTGGAGTGCAGTGGTGTGATCTTGGCTCACTGCAACCTCTGCCTCCTGGGTTCAAGTGGCTTTTGTGCCTCAGCCTCCCAAGTAGCTGGGATTACAGGTGCGTGCCACAATACCCAGCTAATGTTTGTATTTTTAGTAAAGACGGGGTTTCACCATGTTGGCCAGGTTGGTCTCGAACTCTTGAACTCAAGTTATCTGCCCACCTCAGCCTCCCCAAGTGCTGGGATTACAGGTGCTGGGGTTTTTTAAGTATACCATCATACTACCTGTAAGTAGAGGAGATAGTTTTTCTTCTCCCTTTTCACTTCTTATGTCCTAATCTTTTTTTAAAAAAAACAAACTGATTGCATTGGTTAGTACTTTCAACATAGAGTTAAATGGTGGCAGAGATGTAGAAATCCTTATCTAATTAGTAAGGATGCCTCTAGTGTCTTCCCATTAAATAAGACACTGGCTGTAGGATTGAAGCGTGCACCTGCGTATCTGTGTTCGTTTAGGAAGAGACTTAAAATACATATTTTTTCTTATTACATAAGTGATATCTACATATTTCAGAAAATATAAAAAGTGTGGCTCACGTCTGTAATCCCAGCACTTTGGGAGGATGAGGCAGGTGGATCACCTGAGGTCAGGAGTTCGAGACCAGCCTGGCCAACATGGTGAAACGCTGTCTCTACTAAAAATACCAAAATTAGCTCGGTGTGGTGGTGGGTGCCTGTAATTCTGAGCTACTTTGGGAGGCTGAGGCATGAGAATTGCTTGAACCCAGGAGGCGGAGGTTACAGTAAGCTGAGATCACACCACTGCACTCCAGCCTGGGTGAGAGAAAGAGACTCTATCTCAAAAAAAAAAAAAAAAAAAATTACAAACAAATTTAAAATAATTTGCAGTTCTACTACTCAGAGAGCTCTACTATTGATATCCTTCCAATCGTTTTATACATGTGTGCACATGCATGTACACGCACACACATGCACACACACTCAGCTCTTGTTGCCCAGGCTGGAATGCAATGGTGTGATCTCAGCTAACTGCAACCTCCACCTCCCAGGTTCAAGCAATTCTCCTGCCTTAGCCTCCCAATGTAGCTCAGATTACAGGAGCCCACCACGATGCCCAGCTAATTTTTTGTATTTTTAGTTAAGACGGGGTTTCGTCATGTTGGGCAGGCTGGTCTTGAACTCCTGTCCTCATGTGATCCACCTGCCTCGGCCTCCCAAAGTGCTGGGATTATACATGTGAGCCACTGCACCTGGCCCATACATTTTTCTTATCATAATGGTATTATATTCTATAATAATACGTCATGCACATTTTCCTATTAGTCTTCTGTATTGTTTCTAATTGTTCCAGAGTATTCCATGGCACAAATATGCCATAATGTCACCAGTTCTCACTGATGGATTTTTAGGTTAGCGCCAATGTTCTCACTATTCTAAGAGTACTAGGATAAGCCTTCTGGCTTCTCCATGGATGTGACACTGAAGCTTGTTTTCTTGATACACACGCCCAGAAGTAGAATGTCTGAGATCAAAGCCAGCAGCAAATTACCCCAGTGAAGAATGTGCCCGTTAGCTCTCCCCTCAGGACCTCGAGCCTTAATTATCATCGTGGGTTAGGTCTTACGGCCTGTTCGCTCTGTGCCCAAGATCTTGCAGGCATATTGCTTCATCCTGGAGAAGCTGCTGGAGAATGAGGAAACTCAGATTAATGGCTTCTGCATCATCGAGAACTTCAAGGGCTTCACCATGCAGCAGGCCGCCAGTCTCCGGACTTCGGATCTCAGGAAGATGGTGGACATGCTCCAGGTGAGGCCTGAGCCCTGTCACACAGGAGCCTCCTGCAGCTGGGGAGGCTCAGAGGCTGGTCCTGCCTTCATGGTGCTCGCAGAGACCTGAAAAGTTGGACCACCTTGTGCCACAAAGAGCAGGGACAGCCACAATCCCAACCACAAGCACGTGCGTAGTGACTGACAATTTGCAAAGTATTCACTTTCGTTTTTTCATTGACTCCTCGAGAGCATTGTCTCCCTCCTTCCCTGCTTCATTTTTCATACCTGGAAACGAAGGCTCAGAGATTTTCAGTGACATCTCAAGGTCACACAGCAATGAAGTGGCAGAGGCCAGACTTGAAGGGGTACCTTTGACCTGGAATCCCATGTTGTCTGTCCATACAGAGTTAAACGGTGGCAGAGATAGTGAAATCCTTATCTAATTCCTGGTCTCAGTGAGGATGCCGCTAGAGTTTTCTCATTAAATAAGACACTGGCTGTTGGACAGAAGGGTGCACCTGTGTATCTGTGAGTGCGTCCTGCCTCTCTTTGAATGTGGATTCAGAAAGAAGTATCAGTAACCCCCTGATAACTCACTCCTATATACGCTGACATGTCAGGAGTCCTTTCTCAGAGCCATCTTGGATCTGCTGTATGTGGTATTTGGGAAAGGAGGGGTGGGAGGTGGAGGTCGTGGGAGGAGCTGATGGACAGTGAGGCGTGGTAATAGTGGTCCTGTGGTTTGTAATCATTTGCAGTCCATTCGGCAGGCAAGTGGGTTGTAAAACACTCACCAAAAGGCCAAGCGATGCTACTTTCATTTCTTTACCTGATTCTCGGTTTTACTTGCATCGGCAGTGAGAGGATTGGGTCGTATGAATCTTGGGGTTTCCTCCCTGCAGTTTGGGGCCACAGTGAAGCCAGGGATCCCTAGTGGCTGGCCTGGAAACAGGACCTTCAGTGGGCCCTTCTCCAGGGCAGCCCTGTGACACTGGAGCAGTCTGTCCTATGCCACGCAGAGAGGCAGCAGGGAAGGAGTGGGAGCCTCTGAGGTCATCAGGGCCACGGGGCACGGGGGTCTCTGTCACTGCAGGATTCCTTCCCAGCCCGGTTCAAAGCCGTCCACTTCATCCACCAGCCGTGGTACTTCACCACGACTTACAACGTGGTCAAACCCTTCTTGAAGAGCAAGCTGCTTGAGAGGGTGAGTCCATGGGTGGCCCAGACAATGAGATGAGAGGGCCAAGGGTGGGGCCTCACCTAAGCCCTCGTCACACTCTACCGTGGTCCTGAGCTACGTGGATCCCACCGACAACCAGCATGGAGACCTGCGGGGAGGGGTTGTCGCCAGGCAGCGACTACACACGGTGGGGCTTGGTCCTCCTGTCCCTTCTGCTGTCAGCCCTCATCCTCAGGGCACCTCCTCCGGCTCAGCTCTGCCTCCCTTGCTTCCCTGCAGGTCTTTGTCCATGGGGATGACCTCTCTGGTTTCTACCAGGAGATCGATGAGAACATCCTGCCATCTGACTTCGGGGGCACGCTGCCCAAGTATGATGGCAAGGCTGTTGCTGAGCAGCTCTTTGGCCCCCGGGCCCAAGCTGAGAACACAGCCTTCTGAGGACATCTTCTGCCAGCTGAACTGTAGTTAGCATCCCTGGGCCTCTGAGCTGTCCCAGACCCAAGGCTAAGAAAGGGCTGCTTGAAATGATTGCGGTCCCTCTGGAGCTCCCTAAGCCTGAGTGAGCTCAGGGGTAACCCTTGAACAAGAAGTACTGGGGGTAGTTATATTTCCACCCGTCCTTGAAACCTTAAGACAATAATTTTTGCGCGAGGTTGTATTTCAAAGACTCTAGTTTTCTCAATCATTTCCTTTGTAATAGAGTTTTGCGACTTAGGGTCTGAAAACAGGCAGGGAGCCTGGGTTAAAATAGCCTCCTACTCTCCCCAAAAATGCAATAAAACATAAAAGAGGGAGGAGATACGCTCAAGTGATTTGACAAACATAGGCATCTTGGTGGCCGCCAGGCAGGCAGGGGCTTTTCCATGGAGAATTCCAGGGTGGAGAAGCTGCTTCATTCAGGTGCAGTGCGCATGTGTAGGGTGGGCCGGAACTTGGACTTCTTTCCAGGGTGGCAGTCATGCTTCCTCCATCTGTCTGGGAGAGGGGGTTTGTCCACCAAAAGCTGTCTCCTCCAGTCCCCTTGCCTGGATGGAGGGTTTTACTTTTAGATTTACAAATCTAAGTAAAAGGTGGCATCTTCTCTGAGCACTCACTTGGTCCTCAAGAGTTAAAGCTCTTTTTTTGTCTTGACTCTCAGGCACTTCATAGTGATGAACTTACACTTTCCAAATCTACATTTTTTTTTTTTTTTTTTTGAGACAAGGTCTCACTTGTTGCCCAGGCTGGAGTGCAATGGTGCAATCATAGTTTACTTCAACCTCAAACTCCTGGGCTCAAGCAAGCCTCCTGCCTCAGCCCCCTGAGCAGCTGGGACTACGGGCGCATGCACTGCACCCAACTAATGTTTTACATTTCTTTCTTTTCTTTTCTTCTTTCTTTCTTTCCCTTTCTTTCTTTCTCTTTCTTTTCTTTTCTTTCTTTCTTTCTTCTCTCTCTCTCTCTTTTTTTTTTTTTTGTAGAGATGAGGGTCTGGCTCTGTTGCCAAGTCTGGTCTCCAACTCCTGACCTCAAGTCATCCTTGTGCTGGGATTATAGGTTGAGCCACCATGCCTGGCCCAAATCTGTGTATTTTGACAAATATAAATGCTTTCCATCTATGGAGTTGGCTTTACTCAAGTGCTTGGTAATTTTCGAGTGTGCGCTCATTTCTGGAGGTGAGAATCCCTGTTAGATGCCCTGTTTGCTGAGGATGCTGGTCCCTCTTGGGAAAGTGCTGGCTTCTTCTGGGCGTGGGTCGCCAAAGCATTGACAGATACTGTTTCCAAGATGCTACACTCATTTTCCCACGTGGAAACAGACATTGGCTGGCTAGTGGCAGGAGGTGAGGCCTTGTTGTTCCCACCAAGGTGTCCCAGTCAGTCATCCCAAGACTTGTCTGCTCTTGCCTGCAGAGTCACCCCTTTCTTTGTGGGTGTGAAGCACCCTTACTGCTGCACCTACCTTTTGGGGCAGGATATTCCAACTGTTTTCTGACTTTGGATTCAATCCAGTCCTGTTATACCTTTGAGAATTTATCTGATCCATGAGAGGTCTCTTTCTTGTTTTTCGGTGAGGCTGTGTACCTGTTCAAGTATGTCAATGTGTGTATACGTGTGTGTGTGTTTGTGTGTGTGTGTGTGTGTGCATTTATTTCTTATATACTTTCTTTCACTTTTAGGGTTTGTACTGTTTGCTCATTCCCCAAGAAATTTCCTTCTTTATAACATTCACTGTCAACTATCCGTGGTCATAAAATCCATGAAAATGAAAATGGTATTTACACAGGACTCCTAGGCTGGAGGAGGAATCACGGCAAATTATTATGGGCACAAGGGTAGGAGATCAACCAGTGAGGAGTTTGTCCCCAGAGCTGAGGCTTCCTTTTTGCAAATCAAATCTCACATGGAACCTTGGTATTCAAACTTAAAAAGGGCCAGGCGTGCGGCTTATGCCTATAATCTCAGTACTCTGAGAGGCCGAGGCAGGAGGATCGCTTGAACTTGGGAGTTTGAGATAAACCTAGGCAACATGGTGAAATCCATCTCTATTAAAAATATACAAATTAGTTGGTTATGGTGATGCATGCCTACAGTCCCCACAACTCAGGGGGCTGAGGTTGGACGATTGCCTGAGCCCAGGAGATGGAGGCTACAGTGAGCTATGGTCATGCCTTATGTACATGCAGGTCACGTACAACAGAGAGAAACCCTGTATCAACAAAACAAAACAACACCAATCTAAAAAGAGTGAAGCTGCCCTGGCAGAAGGGGCCTCACCCCAAGAGATCACTTACGAGCATCTGGAGCTAGGAAGGTATTTCAGGCATGAGAACATGGGTAACTGTCAATGGTGCTTTGGGGTCAAGTGAGAAAGGAAGAGAGACTAGCATTTGCCAAGGTGGAGGGCACTAGTGGCCCAAGTGGGGGTGTTGATGGAGGGGGTGGGGATGAGGCTAAGCTCAATAATTCAAAGGAATGGGTATTTTTGGCCAGGCACGGTGGCTCATGCCCATAATCCCAGCACTTTGGGAGGCCGAAGTGGGTGGACTGCTTGAGGTCAGGATTTGAGACCAGCTTGGCCAAACATAGTGAAACCCCGTCTCTACTAAGAATATAAAAACTAACCAGGTGTGATGGCAGGGACCTGTAATCCCAGCTACTTGGGAGGTCGAGGCAGGACAATCACTTGAAACCAGGAGGTGAAGGCTGCAGTGAGCTGAGATTGTGCCACTGAACTCCAGCTTGGGTGACACAGCGAAACTCTGTCTTAAAACAAACAAAGAAAAACAATGGCAGTGAGCTAAGATCACCCCACTGCACTCCAGCCTGGGTGACAGAGAGAGACTCCATCTCAAAAAAAGGATATATACTTCTAATTGCTCCTCAGGACTTGGGTCCCAAATCTGAGGGAAACACTGGTTGATCCCTGTCCACTGACCCCATCTTCCCTGAGCCCGGAGCTACCAGGCGCCCTCCTAGACACAGCCCTGTCCTGCTCTGAATTTGTGGCAGCTCAGAAAGTATCAATGGGATCAGGCACATCCTGACCAGAAGACTCTTGGGGCATCCTTGGCTCCTACTGAAACACGCATGGGATTCTGGGATCATCCCTAAGGTCAGCAGGGCTGACGCCTTAGCTCAGGGGCCCTCGCTGATAAGACCTAGTGGCTTTCTGAGGAAGAAGTCATCAGAAATTCATTGAACCCTGTGAGCCAGCTCTGACTGTGCGCTTGCGTCGCCCCCTGCTGGCCATACCCTGGCACTGCTCTTCCAGGGACAAGCTGGGCAGGAGGGTTATCTGGGTGGGCTGGGCCAGACCTTGCCCGAGAAGGTGGTGATGCTTTCGGGGGAAAAAGTGTCTGAAGACTGTGAATGGCAAAACCTGACGTGCTCAGCCTCACAAAAATCCCAGCTGCTTATGTGTGTGATTCCCCACATTATTGAAGAGCGACAATAAAATACTCTTTTGAAGGACACCAGCCATGGGAAGGAGAACAACAAAACATGAATTTTATGACAACCATTTGGTGCCCATAACAACTTCCTTTCTGGGGATATCTGGGATAAGGCAGGGATTCTGTCACATAAAAGTATACGAGTTGGAAGGTTGCAGCGATACATTTCTGCCATGGGAATGTGGACGTTGGGAGAACAGAGGCAATTCATCAAGCTGTGGGTTGAGGTCTCTGGAAGGAGACAGGTGCCAGCTTCAGAGAGCCTCTCAATGAAATTGGCCACGCCTCGGCTTTACCCAGGGGAAAGTGGAGGACGGTCGCACTTCCTGGAGGCCTGGCAAAGCCTTACTGGAAGAGGTACGCCTTTCTCTTAACTCAAATGAGCAGGAAAAGAGGTGACGCATCACCTAACAGGTGAAGTGGAACACCTCGGATCCCACTTTTTTTTTTTTTTTTTTGAGAGAGTCTCACTATCACCCAGGCTGGAGTGCAGCGGCATGATCTCAGCTCAATGCAACCTCTGCCTCCTGGGTTCAAGTGATTCTCCTGCTTTAGCCTCCCAAGTAGCTGGGATTACAGGCGCCTGCCCCTACATCCGGCCAATTTTTATATTTTTAGTAGAGAGGGGGTTTCACCATGTTGGCCAGGCTGGTGTCAAACTCCTGACCTCAGGTGATTTGCCTGCATCAGCCTCTAAAAGTGCTGGGATTATAAGTGTGAGCCACTGTGCCTGGCCTCTGATCTCACTTTCTGTTGGAGGCTTGGCTCTGGAGTTTAGGAAACTCAGAAGTGTCAGATCTGGCCTCACTACTCAAAGTGTGGTCCAAGGAGGGCTGGCCCCTCCACATGGGGAGCTCCAAGGCCACATCTCAGACATGCTGCATCAGAATCTGCTTTAACAAGACCTCCAGGGGCATGCACATTAAACAACCAATCAGGCCAGGCACAGTGGCTCATGCCTGTAATCCCAGCACTTTGGCAGGCTGAGGAGGGATGACTGCTTGAGCCCAGGAGTTTGAGACCAGCCTGGACAACACAGCAAGACTCTGTTTCTACACACACAAAATCAACCAAATGCAGTGGTGTGAGCCTGTAGTTTTGGCTACTAGAGAGGGTGAGGCAGGAGGATCTCGCTCTATTTTTTTTTTTTTTTTGAGATGGAGTTTCACTCTTGTTGCCCAGGCTGGAGTGCAATGGCGCGATCTCGGCTCACCACAACCTCCGCCTCCTAGGTTCAAGCAATTCTCCTGCCTCAACCTCCTGAGTAGCTGGGATTACAGGCATGCATCACCATGCCCAGCTAATTTTTTGTATTTTTAGTAGAGATGGGGTTTCACCATGTTGACCAGGATGGTCTCGATCTCTTGACCTCGTGATCCACCCGCCTTGGCCTCCCAAAGTGCTGAGATTATAGGCATGAGCCACCGCGCCCGGCCGGAGTTTCACTCTTGTTGGCCAGGCTGGAGTGCAGTGGCACAATCTTGGCTCACCACAACCTCCACCTTCTGGGTTTAAGTGATTCTCCTGCCTCAGTCTTCTGAGTAGCTGGGATTACAGGCATGTGCCACCACGCCTGGCTAATTTTTTTGTATTTTTAGTAGAGATGAGGTTTCTACATGTTGGTCAGGCTGGTTTTGAACTCCCA